TTTCTTTCTTTCATCTTCTCCACCCCTCCTTTTGTTCGTTATTTTTAGGTATTTTCCTTCTTTTTTATACCCTTTATCGTGTTACATACACCTACCATACTTCCATCATACTTCCGCTATCACTAAACATACATACTCAACACTCTACAAAAGATACCCGTTATTATCATTTTTTTTCCTTAATAAAACACGCTTTTTTTGTATCCCCCAAAAATAAAACTATTGATTTTAAACACAGAATAGAAATAGAACAAAGATATATTTAATATTAGCACCTTAAAGGCTGGTCCGTGTTTTTCACATCCGCAAACAATAATTTAAAAGCATTCTAATTCGCTATAAAATTAAATCTTTTATACTTAAGTATCAATAATTGTAGTCTTTTGTAATATCGAGTTACCTTTTTAATAAAAAAGAAGTCGTCAAAATGCTTCGAAAATCAGAAGAAAAATATTTGGAGGTCGATAAGCCTGCAAGCATTTTGCGGGAAACGTTAAAAGAGATGGAGGAAATAGACTCAACTGGGATCCTAAAATGTGTTGATCAACATATGGTTGATACATATAATGCAATAAGCCGTGCAGCTAAATTAGGCGCTTATCGATTATTGCATTTTGAAGAAATGCCACAACAATGGCAAGAGAATCCGTGAGTCATTTTTGCTTTGATTAGAATTCAAAGATAATTTTTAAATAATAATTAATTATAATTGACTATATCACAATAATTAATAGATACATTCGCTCCGGCTATCGATTCCTATCTACAAAGCGAGCTTGTCTTCAATCGATATTTTATTTGCACAATGAAACTTGTAATATTTGGTCCCATCTATTAGGGTTTATGTTCTTTCTAGGACTCGGAATATACACTTTTAATACTCATCTGATACACGCATCGACTTTTGATAAACTCGCTTTTGCCATTTTCTTTATAGCTGCTGCAAAATGGTATTTTTTTTTTATATTTTAGTATTTCACTGCACATATATATATATATATATGAATGATAGTTAATATTGAATTGCTCTTTATAGTTTAGTGTGCTCAGTTATGTATCATGTGTTTATTCATTGTGCACATATACCAGGTAATGATTTTTTTGCAAATTTGGTTGGTTTTTTTTTATTATTTTAACTTCTAATAATACTTATTCATAATGTATATAGTAATGAAATGTGCAGCAACCTTCGATTATATTGGCATTTCACTTCTCATCACCGCCTCAATCCTCATCACGGAATACTATAGCTTCTACTGTTCTCCACTTGTGTGTTGTTTCTACATGATCTTCACTTCATTAGCCGGCCTTGTACCAATAATGTGCTCTATATTATTCAAATGGTGGGATACGAAGCCATATCGTCTATATCGAGTTGGTATGTTCGTAATGTTGGGTTCATCCGGAATATTCCCATTAACCCATCTCATACACTTACACGGTGTGGTTCATACGTGGCACTTTGTGAGTCCGATCATATCAAGCATCGCTGCCTATCTGACTGGCGTCTGGATATACGCTAATCGATTTCCAGAGCGAAAATGGCCGGGCAAATTGGATCGATTCGGAATTCATAGTCATTCGGTGTGGCATGTGTTTGTGTGCATTGGTATTTATGAACATTACCGGGCTTCTTTATGGTTCTTTGAGAAACGATTTTCGAGTTGCGAGTTGAATTAACGATCGAGTGATTCGGATTTATTATTCTTGAAAAACAATTCAGAAACATTTCACTTTTTTTTATTTTTGATATAGAATATTTCTTGGGTAGAAAAGTAGAAAAAACTTTGTAATTTAATTGTTTGATTGGTAGATGAAAAATTTTACATCCAAAATGTTTGTATTTATATATATATACACAATACATTAGAAGCATTCATATTCATTAATTCTAATATCTGATAATTTGATAATTTGTTGACCAATCAAATGGTAATGATCTTAAGTGCGAATTAATTTCATCAATTTTTTGCATGTCTGATCTGCTGAAAAAATGTTTTCATGCTTTTATCGTTATTCTACGCGTCGTATCTATTGTCAATGTCAAACATGTAGATATGTGCTAATATTCACTTAATGCATTTGATCATGAAGTTAATATTGCTTGTTTTCTAGCTCATAAGTACTATTCGACAACGACCTCTCCTCCCGACTTGCAAAAGATAAAACCATTAAATGGAATACGTGTATTAGAATTAGGACAGGTTATTAATAATTAATATGGCTTTATAATATTGGATTTTTAATTATGTTCACAAAGAATAATTTTATTTTATTATCCTATTAGATGATTGCAGGTCCATTTTGTGCTTCTATATTAGGGTAATCAATTAACCGAATTTTTAAGATCTGCTTATATTTTTAATTATAATCAATAAAATTAACTCGTTGGTTTAGATATTATGGTGCAGAAGTGGTATGTAGTGTTTCTTTTGGTTATGGAATTGTGACATATTTTTATTAACTGTACTCCAAAAAAAGATAAAAATAGAACCACCAAAATCCGGTGATCCATTGCGTATTTGGCGGCACTTGGATAAGGATGGCTGCAGTCCTTGGTTCCGATCACTTGGCCGAAACAAAAAGTCGTGTGAGATTAATTTACGTGCTGATGAAGGTCGAAAGTAAATAATCAAATATCGAATTCGAGCCTTTATGTAGTTTTTACGTAAGACTATTATAATTTGAATAGATTGATACGACAGCTGGCTGATAGATCGGATGTTTTGATAGAGAATTTTAAACCGGGTACTATGGAGAAATGGGGGCTTGGTCC